AAAAATATAAAGACAGTGGCTCTCAGGTTGATTTTTTTTAATCTAAAAATATTGTCTGTGAGAGGCAAAATATAAAACAGAAGTCACTAAAAATAGGAATAAAAGCAGTGGAGAAATACATTTGAGACAAAAAGTATGATACAAAAGAAAGCTTTTTGTATTTGACAAATAGAATTTTTGATCGAAAACATATGGGACATGCCCTGGCTTGTGTGGCTTGTCTTGCAAATCAAAAAATCACAGGTTCAATTCCTGGTTAGGGCACATGCCTGGGTTGCGGGCAGGGTCGCCGCAGGGGTCACATGAGATGCAGTCATACGTTGATGTTTCTCTTTCTCTCTTTTTTCCCTTACTTCTCCTCTCTAAAAATAAATAAATAAATAAATAAAATCTTTTAAAAAATTTTGTGTGTTTTTTAGTATTTAGTAGGCTATTTTTTGAGTCTGGGAACAAAATTTTTTCCATGTAAATCAATGGTAATGGCGTCTTCCCTTTATGCCATTTCAGCTTATGAAAGTTCTCAGAGGAACACTCTACCTTTGAATAGTGAGGGAAACCTGTATCTTGTAGAATAGGAAATGAGGGTGGCAGTGTGCAATCTCATTCTGAGATTGGAGAAATTGTGCAGTGCCCAACAGGTACTCAATTGTTTAAGCCTAACTGCTTGATAAACAGAACAGTTAAGGTTTTTTTTGGTCTAGGGGTGCCCTGAAAAATACTATCAAGACAGTAAAGATGCCATGAAGCAAGAAAGTTGGGCAGCCTCTTTAATGAGAATTATGAACAACTAAATGTTAAAAAAAAATTTGAAAACTTAGACGAAGTGGACAAATTCATAAAAAATGATAAGCATCTTGAATATATTATGTAAAACATTGAAATGGTAGTTGAAGTTCTTCCTTCACCCAAATCCCATAATTGATTGACTGTATAGGTGAGATCTGCCAAATTTTTAAGGAACAATTAATTTCTTACGCAAAATGATAAAGAAAATGAAAAGAGTAAAAAAACACCTAACTCTTTATGCCAGTATAATCTTGAGTACAAACCCTGATAAATTTAAGAGGAGGCATTATAAAGAATGTTATTAATGTGGATTAAAGGATTCTAAATAAAATATTAGCTTTCTGACTCCAAGGATGTATTAAAAAAGTGATGCATCATGATCAAATGGAGTTTAGTTCAGGAATTCAAAGATACTTCCCCTTTAAAACTACAAATTAATATAATTCATCATTTTAACAGTTGAGAGAAAGAAGAATACATTTTTCTGATTTGAGGCAAAAAGCATTTTATAAATTTCAATAACTTTATGATAGAAATTCTTAGCAAAGTATATATAAGGGAGTTTTATTGAGTGTGCATTGGATTTTTGGGAACTTTTTATTATGGACATTTCTAAAATCATAAAAGTTGGGTGATGATATAATAGACCTGACAATGTCTTCATTGCTCAGCTTCAACAATTGCCAACATATGGCAACTCTTTTTAATGTATGCCTCCCATGTGTGGGTGCACAAGCACCCGCATATACTTTTTTCCCAACCGTGCAGATTATTTTGAAGTAGATTCCAGACACCATGCCTTTTTACCAGTACTCATTATGTAGCTTTTTTCTCTATAACCGTTAACATTCTAAGGAAAACCCCACCTATTCCTTAATATTTTTTAGCATTTAGCCAGAGTTGGAATTGTGCGAACTGGCTCATAACTGTGGATTCGAAGTTCTCATATTTAATTTGGCTATTATTCCTCATTTTTTTTTTCTTTAATCTATAATAGCCCCTCTCATTCTTTATTTTCTTCTTTTTTTAAATCTATGTAACTAAGAAAGCAGGTCATCATCCTGTGCAATTTTCCACATTCTAGATTCGGCTGACCATGTCTCTATCCTCATATTTCCTTTAAACAGGTAGTTAGACTTAATTAAATTTTGTTATATGTTTAGGTGAATGATAGTCACTGCATAATATTGGTGTGTAATGTCTTATTCTTTATATCAAGGGGCACATGATGCTTGGCTACTTTTGTTTTGTTGAGGTTGATTAGTGGGTCTATGTCCCTAGCAGATGCAATCATTACTTGATCTTTTAACAATCACTGTTGCTTGTTTCCTAGAGCAGCAATTTTCAACCGTGCGCCTCAAGAATTTTTAAAGCATGCAATACCTGACTGACCTCTTTTCTCTTAGATTGTCAAATAAAAACATGACAACAGCCAACACAACAATAGTCGTCCAGTGTGAATGAATCAAGATTATACCGATTTTTTTGTTAGATCGGCAAATATTTTTGGTGTGCCGCAGAATTTTAGTAATTAGTTTGTGTGTCCTATGAGTTAAAGTTAAAAATCTCTGGCCTAGATCATTATTTTATTAGGGAGTAGCAAAATGGTGATATTCTAACTTATTTCTTTATTAGCTTGTTAGTTTATTAGTTCATTACTATTAAACATGGTCCTTCATCAATTCTTTGATTACTCTGAGGTACAGTTTATATAGGAAAGTCAAAATAAATGCTTGGTTCTTTCTAGAAGAGCACTTTCTTAGTAAACCTGCAGTGAACATAATAATAGAGAGGTTTTAGGTATCTAAAGCAAGACAAGGATGCCTGCTATTATTGCTGCTGTTTAACATATTACTGGAGGTAACATGTCAAAAGTATAGGAAGGAAAAATAAAAGTTATAAACATTGTAAAGAATGAGATAGAAATGTCATTATGTACAGATTGTGCACTCATTTACCTTGAATACAAAGGACTCGTGGGGAAAAAAACTTTAAAACTTTAATAGAAGAAATAATCATAGACATAATTTACTCTCACGAAAATGTTATTACTTCTAACGTTTATCACTGAATTTCAGGTAATCTCTGTCAGAACTGTAGCTGTATATTTTTTGAAGAGCTTTATGATAGTACTCTAAATGATGTGTGGAAGAACAAATAAGAGTTTGTGAATAGCTAAGTCAGCCTTAAAAAAGGAAAATAAAGGGGAACTTGCCCTACGAAATATTAAGACATACTGCAAAGCCATAGAAATACAGTATGGTATGGTATAAGAACAAACAAATAGATCAAAAATATTAGAGAGCTTAGAAATAAACTCAAGGATATGTGGAACTTACAGATACTGGTAGTAGGTAGTACTGGAGAAAAAAAAAGCTCATTATATAGAGAGGGAAAAAAATTATATTCTATATCATATACAAAGGTAGACTCCAGATGGATTAAACACGTAAATGTGGAAGATACAACCAAGAGGTTAATAGAAGGAAATGAGAAATATTTTTGTGACCTGGTTTGGGGAAAATCTTAAAACCTCAAAGCACAAATCAATTGTGTGTGTGTTTATAAATTTAATTGCATCAAGATAGGGACTTCTGTTTAACAAAAGGCCCCAAGGACAAAATCAATACATACGTGACAAATGGGAGACAATATTTGCAGTGTTTAATATTGCCAAGTGATTAGTATCTTCTAGACTAGATTTATACAGAGAACTCCTGTAAATAAGCAATATAAACAGAGCAATCTCAGCAGAAAAATGGGCAAAAGATATAAACAGGCTATTTATAGAAAAGGGAGCCCCCAAAAGAGTAAGCATGTGAAGAGATGCTCAAACATAATAGTAATCAGGGAAATGCAAGTTAAAACAGTAAGACATCATTTCATATATGTTAGGCTGACACATACTGGAAAACTAGATAAAACCAAGTATTGATGAAGATTCATGGCTATAAAAACCCTCACACACTGGTGGCACATATATAGCCACTCTGGACAGTAGCATGGCACTGAGAATAAAAACTTTACATGTACATGACTCAGCAGCTTTGCTCTTGAGTTTATATGCCAAAGAAAGTCTCAAACAGATTCATAAGAGGACATTAACAGGGATGTTCCTTGCAGCAACATTTGTAATGGAAAGGCATTGGATGTAATCCAGATGTTGGGTCTAAGGATAGTAGAGAAAAAATGTTTTTGATACAGGCCATGGCATATTGTGTAGCATTTAGCAGTAGCAAATCAGATGTACGCATACAAAATACTTACAGAAGTGAAAATGTTACAGAAGTGAAAAAGCATAGAATACAATATATAACAGATTTGTATACATTAAAAATACATGTACTAACTGGCAGTGTGATGAAAGCAAATGAAAGGACTGAGGAAACCACTGTTGATCCATCAACCTTGTGAAATTATCTTTTGTCTGGCTATTTTATGAACCATAGGTGTTGTGTGACCATCAGACATAACGACCAAGTGAGGAGACCCCTGTCAGTCTGTATATTGATCACTTAAAGTGTTTAATTTCCTTTTTAAATTAGTTAAGCCCTGGCCAGGGTGACTTAGTTGGTTAGAGCATCGTCCCTTACACCAAAGGATTATGGGTTCAATTCCCAGTCAGGGCACATGCCTGGGTTGAGGGTTTGATCTGTGGTCTGGGCACAAAGGGAGGGCAGCCAATCAATGTTTCTCTCTCTCTCAAAAGCAATGAAAAAATGTCCTTGGGTGAGGAAAAATAAATTAGTTAAAACTTACATAGAAATACAAGTTCTAGTATTTTCTTGCATCCTGGTTAGACGTCTTGCCTTTCTGCGGATATATACATGCCACTTTGAAGACCATTAGTCTAAAACATTTGTTTGAAGGAAGTTATTTGAAACCTCAAGATGTATTTTAAGAATCATGAAGTTTAAAATCTATTCCATAAAATTTGTGTGTTTTAATATAAAATGTGACTTCCCCAAATCTTTGGGGGAAATTACCATTCTAGTAATATGTGCCTCCAAAAACTCACTACATCCAGTGTAAAAAGCAGGTTCTTAAGCTGACTTCATTGATCAAAGATCTTAGAGATCTTTGGCAATATTTCCTTTCTTGAACACAAAATCACTTCACTATTGCTCTTGGATGGATTCCAGTTTGAAGTGTTATGTTGTGAAATACACAGTTATTTTATGACACTCTGATTTTGTTTTTCTTTAACTTTACAGAGACTGTGCAGTTGATCCTACTTGTGTTTTATGCATGGAGTGCTTTTTGGGAAGTATTCACAGAGACCATCGATATAGGGTTAGTAATGTCCAGATAATAATCATATGCAGTATTGAATTTTATACTAGATATCTTTTCTACTTTTTTAAAATTCCAAGATTTAACATTAAAACAGGGGAGAGTAGTTTAAAAAAGTGTTTTATTTTAATACCATTACACATACAATGGCAATGTAGAAATGAATTATGAATCCAGACTTCTTGGACACACATGGTATAAGAAAAGACAACACAGATATCAGCTCATCCAACTAGTTTGTTTTGCTGATTGTTTATGTTTATTAGCTTTAGAACTCTAGGTTTATGGTGGGGGTTATCAAAAATCAGAAGATAAAATTGAGAGTTAAAGTGTGAGAGGGAGGTTCCTAAAGGGGGATAGATGTGTAAGACAGAGTACGGAAAAGTGACTAGATTATAGATTTAAAAAATATCCTATTTATTGGTCATCTCCTACAAAAGATTTGTCATTTCTTAATATTAAAGAGGCATCTACTATAGTGTAAAAGAGGACCCAACTGCAGAACATAAGACCCACCAATTTTAATTTATTTTATTCTGCTATAATGCCATCAGTACTTTCCAGAAATCAGATATGTTTGCATTGAAGTCAGGGATACAGACAAAGGCAGATTATGGCTAAACCTGCCTTGGCTCCTCTACTAGAAATTGAAAACAAAACTATGAACATTCAAAAATTAGGAAACTGTTAGTAATAGGGAACTTTTTTCACCCTAATCTCTAATAAAATGATAGAGAAGGAATAATATTGTAATCTTATTTTAGGAGCGCTGTTGGGTCAGGACTTTTCCCCCTGTTTGTTTTTATTCACAGTACCCAAGTATTGATGATAATGAACTAAAAACAGATGCAAAGTTGAACTCCTTAAATCAGTAAGAGAATCCCAGTTTCCTTTCAGCTGCTCCATCTAATTTCAGCAACGAGAACAAGCATGAAATCTGTGGGGTGGGGCCATCATTTTCCAAATGGCTGCCTGCCCATGTTTCTTGACGTACATCTTTGCAGCCCCTGAGAATAACTGTCATTTGTGGTTTTACATTAATTATTTGTAATATAACACACAGATATGTAGAGCTGATCTAAAATTTGTAATTAATGACCATTTCTAAACTCTCACAGAATTTAAAAAAAAAAGAATTTCCAGTCTACCAATGATTAATAGGTCTGTCTTGCCAGATTCCTTGAATCATTTCCATATCTTAAGGAAGTATGAATAATTCTTGAACCCTACAGGAGGTGAAAAGTTTTTTATGACCAGCCGGTCCACTTTTATATTTCCTGAGCTTCCTTTCTTTTCAAAGAATGCTATTTAGGGAGTGTGAGAAAAGAAAAATAAACTTCTTACAGTTTCTTTTGCTCACTTTCTCTAATGCACATGCCGCACTCTTACGGGAGTCTTTTAGGGGACAGCAGTTGTAGAGATCTTTATAATAAGTCTTGAATCTGGTGTATTACGCTGTAACCTGGTAGCATAGAGGCCAGCAGTATACCAATTTAGCCAAAATACAGCCCAAAAACCCTCGTGATTCTCCTAATTAAGGAAGTTATGCAGGTGGATATAGTTTACCTCTTTAAAATATCTATAGTTTACTCTGTAGTATACTAGGTCACTACAAAGTAGTTTTTATTTTGAAATCACTTAAATTAGCTTATAGGCTTATTTAAAATAAGCTTTAAAACATTGAGAGGTTTGGCATTTTATTTAATTTATCCCTGCAAAGAAATTTAAATACTTTAGCAGTGTTACTTCCTTAGTACTTGCTATTCTTATTGATAACCTGATAGCCCTCAGTAAATACTCACTGACAAGATGCTGTACACATTTTTTTCAAGATGACAACATCAGGAGGTGGAGGTTTCTGTGACTGTGGAGACACTGAAGCTTGGAAAGAGGGTCCTTACTGTGAAAAACATGAACTTAACACCTCTGAAACTGAGGAGGAAGAGGTAAAGACATTTTCAAAGTTGTTTTTAAGGAAAAAACTGTTTTAACCATGAGTTTAGAATATTTTGACACATAGGAATATGGTTATAACATGAGAAATGGATCAGCAAAATAGTCCTGTCACTGTTAACGGTGGCCAGGTAGGTATACTTTAAAAGTTGTTTGCATTTTATGGAGGGCATACCATTGCCAGGAGTACACACTGGAAATTCCAAAAACTTAGTGTAATTCGGACCTTTTATTTGAGGTTTTTATTTTAAGCATTTATTTGAAAGTTTTTATTTATTTAAAATATAGTCAGTTTTATTTAATTTTGTATTGATTGATTTGAGAGAGAGAGAGAGAGAGGAAAGGAGAGAAGGAGAGACAAGCATGGATTTGTTGTTTCACTTAGCTTTGCATTCGTTGGCTAATGCTTGTGTACGTGCCCTGACGGGGGGTCAGATCTGCAGCCCAGCCATACTGGGACAATGCTCTCCCCAACCGAGCTACCCTGCCCGTGCAAGTTCTCATTTATTATTGAAGGAATTATTTTTCTTTTATGTGGAGACCAGTTAACTTACTTGTTTTTTGTATGTTTGTGTTGTATCTAAGACTTTGTAGACCCGCTACCTTTCTTTTCCGTAGCCATACATGGCAGCCAGTCATCATCATCTGGTAAATCAGTGACTTTGCGTAGGTTATGCAACCAGTGTAAGATGCTAGCTCAGTACAAGTTATACTCATTCAAATTATACTCACTTATAAGTTGTGAATATGTGCTTTTTTTAAATTGTTGTTGATCCTGCACTGTTTTTCTCAAAATGATATTTATAGTGATTTATTTATAACTAAATACTCGAGTCTCTGCTGTTGCTTGTAACAATTTGATGTTTGATTCAAGATCCTATTTCAGATTATATTTTTAAATGGCAGAGAAATGGGTACATTCAGAGTACTTTTGCATTATTAGTGGGTCTGATACAGATTTAGGACAAATGGGCATTAATAATCCTTCTTGGCACTAATACCTTACAGGTCTCAAATATTTTAACAGAATGACCAAGACTTTATGATATAAGACACTGTCTTTTAGACTGTGTTCCACAACGTTTTGGACAAATAAAATTTGTGTAAAATTATTCAGTGCTTTTATAGAAAACATACATTTTGTGTTTTGTTTGCTTTGTCCAGTTGTTCTAGGATTTGCTACAGAGAGACATCAAATCGTCAGAATTTCACATTTCTTCACTCCTATTAGAATTGCTTCATTTTTATCTCATATATCAAATTGGAGTTCTATATGTAAAAATGCAAATAAGACCAACGAAGATATATTTGGGGAAAAAAAGTTTTGCTTTTAAAAGAAACTGAAAACTAGTATAAAACATTAGGACTAGCCCAGGCTGGTGTGGCTCAGTGGATTGAGCACCTGCCTGTGAACCAAAGGGTCACGGGTTTGATTCCCAGTCAGGGCACATGCCTGGGTGCAGGCCAGGTCCCTGGTAGGGGGTGCTCAAGAGGTCAACCACACATTGATGTTTCACTCTCTCCCCCTCTAAAAATAAAGTCTTAAAAAAACAAACAAACAACATTAGGACTATAGGAGAAAATATTCGCAAATCGAATATCTGATAAGGGCCTAGTATACAGAATAATATCTTACAACAACAAAAAGACAACCCAATTAAAATGGGCAAAGGACTTGAATAGAAATTTCTCTGAAGAAGATATACAAATGATCAACAGACATGTGAAAACATGCTCAACATCATTAGTCATTAATGTAAATGTAAATCAAAGCCATAACAAAGTTACCCTAGGCTGGCTATAATTAAAAAAAAAAAAAAGGAAAATAAATATTGGTGAGGGTGTAGTAAAATTGGAACCCCTTTGTACATTGCTAGTGTGAATGCAAAATTATTTCAACACTGTGGAAAAGTTTGGCTATTCCTTATAATGTTAAGCATAGAATTGCCATATGAGCCTGTAATTTTACTCCTAGGTATATACTAAAAAGAACTAAAAACAAGTATTCAAATAAGTACATGCACATGCATGTTTGTAGCATCATTATTCACCATAACCAAAAGGTGGAAACAGCCAAAACATCTATCAATGGATGGATAAACAAATTTTTGCATATACATACAATGTAATATTACTTGGCTATAAAAATGAATAAAATACCAACACATTCTAAAACATGAATGGACCTCCATAACATTATGCTAAGTAAAATAAGCCAGACACAGAAGGTCACATACTGTATGATTCTATTTATATGAAATATCCAGAATATGTAATATTATAGAGAAAACACAGACTAGACTGGAGGTTGCCAGAGGCTGGGGAAGGGGAGAATGGGGGAAAACTGCTTAATAGGTAAAGGGTTTGCTGTGAAGTAATAATAGAAGTGTTTTGGAACTAGAGAGAGATGGGAGTGGCACAAGTTATGAATATATTAAATACCACCGTGTTGTTCATTTTAAAGTGGTTTATTTTGTATTCTGTGAATTTCATCTCAATAAATTATTTAAAAATAAAAATTTTAGGACTTCTGTTACATTCTTATTTTTGTTTTAAAGTAGACTTAAAATAATTTCCTGAGAAAAATTATGAATCTGCCTGAAGTTATTACCCTGTTGGCTTCATCTTCATACACTAGTTGGGTAGCTATCAAATAGTGCAGACTTTGGTTGATTTCCTGAATTTTAAGAATAGGACAACAAGATCACTTTGCCTGGCTGAAGCTACATGGCCCTGCCTAGAGATTGTACCCCTATACTCCAGAAACTTGACAGAGAATAAAATCTCTGGAGTCTGCCATGTAATTCCTATTTAAGAACTCCTAGTTAAGAGAAATAAGGTCTTCAGGGATAACACTAAGATGAAATGATAACACTGTGTTTAGCGTACCTGGTTCCACTTAGAAAACCTAGACTATTTTATGCTTGAAGTGGGAGAAAGCTATATAGTATTTGAAATGTACTCTTAGTCTGTCGTAAAGTGTTTATCAAACTTTTGTGGTGGTTGTTATATATTCAGCCTGCTTCTTAAGAAAAAGTTGGGAAAAAACTTGATAATATCCTCCTGTAGGGATAATGTTTAGAAGTTGCATGGGTCTTCTCAACTCTTGGTAGCTGCGATGGGGCACTTCTTCATTGTACAGGCCAGGGATCAGCAAACTATGGCCCTTCAGGCCAAATCTTGTTTGCAACCTGCTTCTGGTGGCACCCTAAGCTAACAATGATTTTTGTATTCTACTTTTAAGTAGTTAAAAAAATCAGTAGGATAGTATTTTGTGATGCAAGAATTATGTAAATTCAATTTTCTGTGCCCGTAAATGAGAGCTTATTGCTGCATAGCTACACGTAATTGTTGATATATGTTTTTTTGCTTCAGTAGCAAAATTGAGTAGCTACAACAGAGAACCCTGTACTGACTCTTCCCAGAAAAGGTTTTCTGACCACATTTATGCTCTCCTACACTGTCAAAAGCATTGTGTTTATTACACCTGACTCCCACTCACTAAATAGCATCTTTCATCCCTGTGACAACAATAAATTGACGCTGGTGGAATGGTACCTGTCTAGTTGAGACCCATCACATAGTATATCACATACTATATAGCGTGTCCTTTGTTGATCTTCATAAGACCCATAACAAATTTCTCTTAGGTCTCTGCATTAGAAAGTGTTATGTTTCTCTTGTTAAGAGCCTGAAAATAGATTGTATTTCCTTTTCTTGAGCCTTCTGGAAAACAGAACTAAATGTTTGGAAATAGAACCTGTCTGTAGTAGCTCTATGGAAATTTATGATCTGAATTTATAAATACTTATTTTTATTTTACCTTCTTTGTATGTCTCTTTTTAAATTCTATTTTATTATGCTGCATGTATTCTTCAGTTGTAAATCCTTTTTGGAACAAAATTTAATTCAGTAACAAATATTAACTGAATGAACAACCTCAGTGAATATGTTTTAATCTAAAATTGTCACTTAGTGCTGCTCTTACCTCATTTGAACACAGATTAGTGATTATTAATAGCTAAATATTATGCTAAGTACTATACTTGATTTATCTCATCTAGTTCTCAGAATTGCCCTATAAGATAAATGTTGCTGGTACCAATATTTTATAGCTGCAGAAACTTGAGTTTTAGCAAGATTAAGAAACTTGCCCAAAGTGTCCTACACAGTAAGTGCAGGAGCAGTGCTTTAGACCTGAGTAGTATAGATTCCAGTAATGGAACTCTTTGACAGTACATTTTACTGGTTTTTGAAAACATTTTTAGCAATAGATGTTATTTTATAATAAATAAGATTCTAATTTTAAAATCCCAATAATAAAACAGATAAAAGTGGTATTATATTATATAATATTTACTTGTTAAGAAAGACAATTCATGCAAAGACGTTATTTTGATGACTGTTCAGTTTCTAGTTTATTTCTAGTTTTAATTGGGTTCTATGGAGAAAATCCTTATTTGCATATGAGAACAATTAAAATCTTTATTGTAATACATGTTTACATTTTAAAAAATTCAAGCAGCCCTGGCAGGGTTGCTCAGTTGATTAGAGCATCAACACCTACACCAAAAGGTTGTGGGTTCAATTTTCAGTCAGGGTGCACATAGGAGGCAACTGATAGATGTTTATCTCTCCCACCCCCTTTCCCGCTCCCTCTCCCCCTTCCTCTCTTTCTAAAATCAATAAACATATCCTTGAGTGAAGATTTTTTTAAAAGTTTAAAAAATTCAAACATTATAGAAGTGTATCACATAAAAGATTAAAGTTCTTCTTAATTTCCACTGCCCTCTGAGATAATCACAGATAAATTTGGAACTGTATGCCTTACAGTCTTCTAATTTGAGAGTAAATCACAGTTGACTCACTGACAAAGGCTTGCATTCTCTAACATAAATGTAGTCAAAGAACTATAATTATTAGTCATAATCGATAATACAACATAGGATAAAATATGTTTTATTTACTCAGTCTAGCTGACGTATGCTGTGATAAAAGCACTTTGAGCAGAAGTCTTTCCTAGCCTTTAGTTTACCATTGTACATATGAGTAGACTTGCACAACCTACCATCTCTTCACTGAAGAAATCTTACTCAGTGACCATTTTTCAAGAAGTTAACATATGCATACAAAGATAGCACAGCAATCTATATTTTCCTAGGCCTGACCCAGACTGGGTTAATGTACCAGCAAAATACCAGTTGGTGATTCCTAATATGTAATATAACACATTTTAGAGTGTATTTTTATGTTACCATTTTAAAAACCTAGTTATGTATTTTAAAATTGATGTGTTATATAGGAAACAGCTCTACAGGCGCTAGGTTTTGCAGAACAGAGTTTGGACACCAAAGGCTTGGATTCTCAAGAATTGGCAGTTTTCTATCCCAGGACCATTTAATTCTTATAAATCCTGTTTATTATAATTGTTCAGTCTTCTAAATGTCTTGTATTAAGGAACATAATTGTAAGAAATGGAGTGACTAGATAGTGAGATAATATTTTCAAGGTTCTGCTTTCTATTTTGGTGAAGTGTGAGTTTCATATTGTTAACTAATTTCTACTCTTTTATGAATCCTCAGGAGATACCAGTTATAGTTCCTTCTTTGTACATGTGGTTTCACTGTTATAGCTTCTAAAGTCTTTATAAGAAACAATAGTAAACCTTGCTGGTAGGATTAAAAAAAAATTGTGCATGAGACATAAAAAGCAGCCTGTTGAGAAGAAATACAGGTAAAAAATAAGACTAAAAAAGTAAGACTTCCAGAAAATCTTCTTCTTAGTTTTTTTAACTTTTTCTTAAATTGTTCAACTCCATCTCCTTTAGGAATCTTTGTCCTTTTTTCTCCATTCTTTTTATCCCCCTCCTCCATTTGTTTTATATCAGTTCCACTATGCATATCTTTGTGTAGCCGTATGTATATTTGCAAGAATTTGCTGCTTCTCATTCCATGGTATTGGAGCATACTGGTCTTATTTGAGAAATGAATATGATACTACTTAGCCCTTAAGCTAAATAATGTGTTCAGGACTTCTGGCCAAGATGAAGGCGTGGGTAGACACACTTCGCCTCCTTGCACAACCATAAGGAGGATCACAACTAACTTCAAAACTAAAAATGACCAGAACTGCCATAAAATTGAACTGTATGGCAGTCCAACAACCAGATTTAAAGAAGAAATATTCATCCAGATGGGTCAGAGGGGCGGAGAGGATGCAATGTAGTGGTGCCAAGATGGTGGCACCTGGTAGAACAGGTGGTCCAACATTCACATGTGGTGAGTAAAAACTGGGAGGGACACCTGGGGAGTGAGCAGTCTCAGCCCCAGGCCAGGCAGTGCAGCCCAGAGTTCCAGCACTAGAAAATTAAGCCTCATAACTTCTGGCTGTAAAAACTAGTTGGGGTTGGGAGTCAGAAGAGACTCCAGTCACTCATGAGATTCCGTGTAAACATACGCAGACCCACCCGCTCTGGGATTCAGCACCAGGGCAGCAGCTACAAGGGTACTAGTTATATACAGGAAGTGGGGCAAGTGACTAGAAATGGGGCAAGAGCTGAGCAAGTGACATTGTCCCTTCTCTCACCCCCCCCCCAACATACAGTGCCACAGAGGGGCAAAGCGGGTTGCCCCACACTGGCAAATATCTAAGGCTCCGCCTCTTACAATGTAACAGGTGGTCCAAGACAGGGAGTCAAAGCAGCTCTACCTAATACACAGAAACAAACACAGGGAGGCTGCCAAAGTGAGAGAAAAAGAAATATGGCCCAAATGCAAGAATAGATCAAAACTTCAGAAAAAGAACTAAGTTAAATAGAGAGAGCCAGTCTGTCAAATGCAGAGTTCAAAACACTGGTGGTAAGGATGCTCAGAGAACTCACTGAGTACGGAAAAAGCGTGAGGGAAGAAATGAAGGCTAAACTAAGTGAAATAAACAAAAATCCACAGTGAACGAACAGTGAAGGGAAGGAATCCAGGGTTCAAATCAACAATTTGGAACATAAGGAAGAAAAAGTCAATCAGTACAGAATGAAGAAACAAGAATTTGAAAAAACGAGGAGAGAATAAGATGACTCTGGGACATCTCCAAACATGCCAACATCCAAATCATAGCAAGTCCAGGAAGCACAGAGTCCCAAACAAGTTGGACCCAAAGAGGACCACACGAAGACACATAATTAAATTGACAAAGAGAGAATCTTAAAAGCAGCAAGAGAAAAGCAGGGAGTTAGTTACCTGTAAAGGAGTTCCCATAAGACTGTCAGCAGACTTCTCAAAAGAAACTTTGCAGGCAAGAAGGGACTAGCAAGAAGTATTCAAAGTGATGAAAAGCAAGAACTTACAACCAAGATTACTCCCTCCAGCAAAGCTATCATTTAGAATGGAAGGGCAGATTAAGTGCTTCCCAGACAAGGTAAAGCTAAAGGAGTTCATCATCACCAAGCCCTTAATATATGAAATGTTAAAGGGTCTTATCTAAGAACAAGAAGATCAAAACTCTGAACAGTAAAGTGACAAGAAACTCACAAGTATCAACAACTGAATCTGGAAAACCAAAAACTAAGCAAACAACTAGAACAGTAACCGAATCACAGAAATGGAGATCAATCACATAGAGGGTTATCAGCAGGGAGGGGGAGAGGGGAGAATGGAGGGAAAGGTATAGAGAATAAAAAGCATAACTGGTAGGTACAGAGTAGATGGGGAGATTAAGAATGGTATGGGAAATGGAGAAGCCAAAGAACTTATATGTAGGACCCCCATGGACATGAACTGGGTGGTGGGGAGGGGAATACTGGAGGGAATGGGGGTACTGGGCGGAGGGGGATAAAGGGGAGAAAAAAGTGGGACAACTGTAATATAATAAATAAAATCTACTTAAAAATAAATAATGTGTTTAGATTTAAGATAAAACAATTGAGATTAAAAACATCTTTCCCTGGCCGGGTGGCTCAGTTGGTTGGAGCATCGTTCCCATACACCAAAGTGTTTCGGGTTTGATACCTGTTCAGGGCACATACCTAGGTTGCGGGTTCAGTCCTGGGTAGGATGCATACAGGAGGCAACTAATTGAAGTTTGTCTCTGACATGAATGTTTCTCTGTCTTTCTCTCTATCTCTCTCTGTTTTTCTCCCCACTCCTTCCACTTTCTCAAATCAGTTGACAGGTCCTCTGGTGAGAATTTACCAAACAAAAACATTTCACCAACATTGACTGAATGATAACCATGATAAACTTAGTATATGTTTATAGTAATACTTTTTTATGTTAACGTAGACATTTAGTAATTTTCTGTTCAATCTAGAGTAGGAAGTTCCCTGTTACATGCATACACAACATTTGAGTGGTTCTTTTAACATTGACTTCTCCCCTTCATAATCCCGAAAATCAAGCTCTCCTTTCAGTGTCTAAAACTAAATATTGGTTGTCTGTCCTTAGATAACATCCCTTTGTTTATTCTGGAAATTAAGAGTTTGTAGGATATTAATCTTATTAAAGATGATTTGGTGTTGGGTTTTAAAGATTCAGAATGTCATACTAAAGTTTTCAGATTTATTCATTAGGCATTGGAGTGCCATTGAATATTTTGGTTCAGCTGATTTCAGTAATTAGCATTATAATGAACAAAACATTTAGGAAGATTGATTTGGAAGGATGTAATGTATAGGATGAGACTGAAGAAAAGCTGAAGCCAGAAATTCAGTCAGTTTTTTACAGTAGTATTTTGAGGGTGGAGACAGAATGGGAAAGGAGAATTAATGTGCTCTTAACAAAGTTGCATTTATTTTAATGTTTTGTGGTTTGTTTGTTTTTTTCAGGATCCTCTTGTTCATTTACCAGAAGATGTGGTAGCAAGAACTTACAACATTTTTGCTATTATGTTTCATTATGCAGTAGAGATATTAACTTGGGAAAAAGAAAGTGAATTGCCAGCAGATTTAGAGATGGTGTAAGCATGACCTTTTTATTTTTTTATATTTGCACTTGCTCACACTTAATTTTAACCATTTTGATTGTGATTTTTCATATTAACTTTAATGCAGCTCAAATAGAACATAATCTTTTGTAATTAATTTTCAGCAGAATAATAACCTTGATTTTACACTTTTAAAATACATATGATCTACTTACTTGTTAGAGGTTTCTCCCTGTTGGCTGTTTGATTTAGTTGGTTAGTAGCCATATTTAAGTCACATCAAGGCTCTAACCATTGGTTTTGAACACAGGCAATTTTCTCTTTATGTAATAAAACTGGTAAATTAATTCTACAATCCTTTTTGTTTTTTCTATTAGTTATGATTAGGGAGTGAACTTTTTGATGTGAGTTTTTTGGTTTGACTAAATGCCCAGACTCCTCAAACTCAGTTTTATCCATTTTGATTCTAAAGTTTTATAAAATATATTTTACACTTTGTTTCTTGTAGTGTACACCTAACATGTTTGCCATTTGTACTTAGATTATTGAGGAGGTCACAGACTTGTGACTGGACTCTGTCTTCTGGCATAGCTCTAGTAAGGTTTAGGGCTGACTTTTCTTTGCGAGTGTGCTTGCCCTAAGATGTCTTCTAATTCTGACCAGGCTTCTTGGAATTGTTTTCATAGTCAAGGTTGAATACAAGTTGGAATGAGAGTTTGAAGGATATCAGTGGTGTTTCTTTTTTGCTTTCTCAACAGTGTTTCAAATAATTAGTTGTGGGTTAAGTGTTTTAATAAAATGAAGTGTTTCTATACCTTTTTGGGAACGTTGAAAATTACTTTATACCTCATGACTTTATCTTCATGTACTTCAGGTTGGGAACCATTGATCTAAGATCCAAATTTAGACACCAGGGAAGAGAAGGGTTTTGTTTTCATTTTTATTTTTTTGTTTTATTTGTAGGTTCAGGGCACTAGCATAGAAAAGAACCCAACTTGCTTCTCTTCCACTGTTTTCCTACCTTAGAAAATGGCATTCCATCTACCCAGAGACCTGGATCACCCATATGCGTTTAGATTTCAAGTCCATCCAATTCTTCTTCTGTCAAATTGTACTTCTGTTCATCTCCAGTACTACTGTGCTACTTTAAATTACATTAACTTCATTTTTGGACAGTAGGGCCTTCCTGACTGGACTGCTATACCCACTCTTGTCTCTCACGATTTATTCTCCACACTGTAAGGCAAATGGACCGTATCTCCTGTTCAGATTCTTGATTGCTTTAGGATGGTGTAATCAACGTTCTTTATAAGGTCTTCCAGATTTCTGCCTCTTTCCAGACTAATGTTCTTCCTCCCTGTGCTCCAGTTTCTAATATTTACCTTTGCTGCCTCAAGACCTTTGCTTTCACCTTCCTCTAGCCCAGGGTTTCTCAACCTTGGCACTGCTGGCATTTGGGGGCCATATTAATTCTTTATTATGGGGACTGTCCAGTGGATTATAGAATAATTAGCAGCATCTCTGACCCTTACCCACTAGATGCCAGTGGCACTCCCGCCCCAGTCATGACAACCAAAATTGTCTCTAGACATTGTTAAATGGTCAACTGTGGGGGTCAGAGAAGGTTTGCCCCCTTTTAAGAACCACTGACTTTGGGTCTCAGATTACTTCTCTGGCGATTCCTCTCTCAACTCCCGCACCTCTTTTACCCAGCTCTAGCACCTGCTCTTGATAAAAGCCAGTTGACATAGAATTTAATGTCCAATATCTATCCCTCAAGCAATGGGGACGACAGATTACTTTGCTACAGGTAGTACCTAGCACATTCCCCAGAATAAAGTGTGCTCTTAACAAATCAGCCTAGAGCAAGAAATATGCAAATAGATAATATATCATTAATATTTTATTCTACAGAGAGAAGAGTGATACTTACTATTGCATGCTGTTTAATGATGAGGTTCATACCTATGAACAAGTTATTTATACTCTTCAGAAAGCTGTTAACTGTACACAAAAAGAAGCCATTGGCTTTGCAACTACAGTAGATCGAGATGTAAGTAAATTTATTATATTGATGTCACTTAGTAAGTTTAACTTTTATTACAGAGAAGTTATCCTAGAATATATAATTAGAGGTATGTATGTATAGGCTATTTTTTCAATTTCGTTTGAATATTGGCCCTGGTATATATTGGGTACAACGAGAAACTCGTGTCAGATAGAAAGTTTGGGAAAAAATGTAGATACACTTGCCCTCATTCTGCTGAGTCATTAGAAATGTTCAGTTATGAAAACAGAAATTATAGCAGTCTAAGTATTATGCTGTATCCCCAGCGGGAAACAGTAGTAATATTTGCCTCCATGATCATAAATAAACTTATTTTTTAAGCTGGTTTAAAAAAAATTATAGCAGCCTAAAAGAATAAATATTGTATAAAGAAAATAATTTATTACTAGTTGAAAATGTTGGGATAACTTTGAAGGAAAATAATTTTTATATACTTTTTATCTGAATAGAATGATTATTGTAAATATTAAAAACTGATCAGAGTTGGATGCTCAAGTATGTTTTTTTACTGGTTCAGAAGTTATTAATACTGAGTATAATGTTTTTACACATTAATTTTAAATATCTTTGTTTATAGGGACGTAGGTCTGTTCGATATGGAGACTTCCAGTATTGTGAGCAAGCAAAATCAGTAATTGTGGTAAGTGATTTTAAAACATGCCTACACTATTATTTTTTTATTAGTTTAAAACCAGTTCCATATTTTGGCATTTATGAAAACATTTTTCTGCCTTCATGAATGTAAAGCCAACATCAGCCAAAATCACTTTGAAGATAAGTTTATTGCGCATTGCATTATTGATTTAACTAGTTTTTTATAAGCTGTGTAAGATTAATATAGAAAATGAATGGTTAGATGACATGTATTTTCTGCCTTCTTATTCTTCATCAGAGACATCTTAGAAAGTTTTTTGCTGTTTGTCTTGTTTTTGATAGGGTTTCACCTTACTTTTTAAGAATTAAACTGGCCTTTAGCACCAAGATTAGAATTCAGGGGAAGTTGTTTCTTGGTATCTTATAGCAAGGTGTGCTGCATATCTTAATATTTATTATACGCATTATTTCTGTAAAAGAAAACTACCAACATTGACATTTATTTTTAAAAGTTAGCAATTATTATTTTTTACTACATATTAACTGCATTTTATGTAAATTTTTTAAAAAATTAGTTTATATATTGTGAAATGTTTTTAATATACAGATAAAAGTAGAGATAGCACAGTGAACACCTGTGTACCCATATTATATACATTATTTTTTATACTTGCTTTAAATAAATGAAGTAGTATAGAAGCCTCTGTATTATCCCTTAATTTCATTTCCCTTCCTCCTTCTCTAGAAATAACTACTTTCATGAATCCATTTTCTCATTGTCACGCGTACCTTTATACGTAATCTATAAAATATCTCTCAACATTATGTGTTGATTTGGAGGCCTTTAAAAATTATATAACAAGATTCACACTGAATGTATTATACTGCAACTTGTCTTTTCATTTCAGTGTTGTTGTTTCTATATTTATCTCTCTGGATATATGTACCTGTAAAGTATTCTATTGATGATAACTATACCATGATTTTTCCATTTTCCTGTTGATGGGCAGTAATGATATTCCCAATTTTGCTGTGACTAGCAGTCCTACTATGGACATTATTTTGTTCCCTCATTGCAAAGATGCAAAAGTTTCTCTAGGGTTTATACCAAAAATGGAATTTCTGAGTTGTTAGGGTATGAGTATTTACAGCTCTGTTACATGGTAATACCAATATACATTCCTGACATAAGTATATGAGAGTTTCCATTTTTGCACAGCTTTGTCAAAATTATATATTTTTAAATTTTTTAATTTTTGCCCATCTGATGTGGACAAATGGCATCTTTTGAGTTAAATTTCGCATTGTCTTCATTACAAAGTATCTTATTTCATATTTATTGTATTTATCATTCAAGATTTTTGTGAATTTCCTATTGATATCCTTTATCCATGTTGGATTGTCTTTTTTTTTTTTTTAATTTATTTGTAGGGTGTTCTGAATTTCAATCTTTTGTTGCAAATATCTTTACCCAATTATGAAACTGACTTTGTTTCTGGTGCCTCTCATTAAGCAAAATCTTTAAGTTTTAATGTAGCAAAATATATCTCCTTATAATCTGTATATTTTGTGTCTTATTTAAGAAATTGTTCCTTCATATTTGGACATATTCAATAATCATCAGAAACTGTTCTGCAATTATGTAAAAGAATATTCCCATTCCTAGGAACTGTTTCTTCAAGTTTTTAGGGATAAGGAGACATGATGCGTATTATTTACCCTCGGTGGTTTGGTGTGTTTTGTTTTGTTTTTAAACGTACATGTATATCTGTCTGTGTGTAGAGAAGGACTGTGCAAATAATACAGCAATTGTAACAAAATTTTTACAATAGATGAATCTGGGTAAAGGGAAGGGTAATTTATTTCTTTTTCATTGTTGCCTTATAACTTACACGTTCAGTAGTATCATTTAAATTTTTCCTTTTTTAAAAATTAGTGCTTGTAATATCTGGTGTTGTTCGCATAGATATATTCATAATATAGAATAGAAAGTCCAGATAGAAATACTAGTATAAGGAAAATCTAGAAAAACACAGATACATTTTAAGGAAGGAAGAGAGCTTCTTAACCAAGATTAGAACCCAAGGAGTTAGGAAAGAAATGGTTTTCAACTATATAAAAAAATGTATATCAAAATATTCCGTAAACAAAGTTAGTAGACAAATTGTAGATTTAGAAAAATTATTTCTAACACATAGGGTAGACATTTAATGTTTATGATAAACAGAACTCATAGATTATCAAGTAGGAAACAAACAACAAAAGAGAAATACGGTTATAAGATACAAAAAAGTAATCACAACAGAGAAAATGTAGGTGGTCAATATATATGAAATGAGACTCAAACTCACTAGTATTCAGTGAAATGACAGGGAGATTTCATACCTGCCAGACTGGAGAAATAACCTTGCTGAAAAAGACACAGAGAATAGGAATACTCATATAAAAGTAAATTGCTACAGCATTTTGGGAAACAATGTAGTAGCATCTGTTCAAGTTTTACTTCACCTAGTAATTTATCCCAAAGAAATATAAGCACCAAGAAGTGTGTGTATATACAAAACTGTTTAGTACTGCTTTTTGTGTACTCACAGAAGACTGAAAACACAGGAAATGTGAATGCCCTTCATTAGAGGATATTTGAATAAATCCACACCAGAGAATATTATGAGTTGTTAACCCAAAATACTGGTTAATGCAGAGATGCACAAGAGTATGTATAGTATCCCATTTTTATAAATAAAAAATCTCTTTTAATGTATACATGTACAACATGTATAGATGGAGAAAATTTGCAAAGATGTACTTTGTTAATGGGGGTTATGGAGATGAGATTAAATGGGTGGGTAGAAAGATGATCTAAACAGAAGTTAAGGGGGTACATGTTAAATAAAAAGTTTTGATAGACTAACTAGACATTTCTTCAAAGATATACACCTTTCCAATAGACACATGAAAGCATGCTCAACATTACTAATCATTAGGGAAATCCAAATAAAGACCACAATAAGATAGTGCCTCATACCCATCAGGATGGCTATTATAAACAAAATAAAAATAATAACACTGTGGCCCTTAAAGGTGTTGCTCAGTGTGGGGTGTTGTCCCAAAAACTGAAAAGTTGCTGCTTCCGTTTCAAGTCTGGGCACATGCCTGGGTTGTAGGCCAGGTCCCTGGTTGGGGGTAGGCAAAAGGCAATGGTGGATGTTCCCCTCGCACCTTGATGATTTCTCTCCCTGTCTTTCTCCTTTCCTTCCCCTCTCTAAAAATAAATACAATTTTTAAAAATAATCGTAATACTTTGTAGTTATAGGAAATAAAAATACTCTTTTCTATAAAAAGTCTTTTTAAGTTTGTTTTTTCATCCTGCCATTTCTTTTTAAGAGAAATACCAGTAGACAGACAAAGCCACTTAAAGTTCAAGTTATGCATTCATCTATTGTCGCGCATCAGAATTTTGGTTTGAAACTTTTGTCTTGGCTGGGAAGCATTATTGGATATTCAGGTAGGTTCACAGGAGCTTATGCTACTTGATTGTAAAATGAACTCATGTGACCTTGCAAAACTGTTTTGGAAAAAATATCAAGTGGAATAATTTTTTGCTTTAATTTCACATTTTTAAAAGATCATCTTAGAATATGTTTATGCATAGAAAAAAATCTGTGTTTCTCAAATTTTGACCCACAGGATTTTGTTAGTATGGATTTTTGTTCAGATAAATTCAGGATACATTGGGTTTTAACTATTCTAAATGACTTTAACATGTTAATGAAATCTAAATCTCACAACTTGATAACAGAACTTTTTTTTTAATGGAGCTCTTTTCACTCAGCAAGCTGGAAAATGCTACTGTAAATAAAACCTAAATGATGGTTAGCAGTTTGAAGAATAAAACAGTAGTGTTGATATCTTTGTTTTGACTCCTGCAACTTTTGGTTTCCAAAAGTTTGCAACTCTGAAAATTTGCAAATTTGAAGTAACTCATTTAGTTTTTTTGTTTTTCTATAGTGTACAAATTAAGTAATCTTTTCAATGTAATGGTTATAGAACTAGAATCTTCATGTTCAATGCCAAAAATACAAGTTTGATGCAAAACACTAAAGAGTAAAACAGTAATAGATCGAAGCTATCGGTCATACTATACTGCAGGCAAGAGAGGTGGTTTGGATAAGTGACATTCTAATGTTTACTATAAAGAAAATTTCTGAAAGGTATATTGAAAGGCTACTAGGAAGAGCATCGCCACGCAGTGAACTGACGGGTAAAAAAAAAATAAGGTGTGGATATTTAGGAGAACATGTTTGCTTGCCTTATAAATGTCTTTCCAATTAGTTTTCTTATCCTTATTTTTTTAAGTTTTAATGTTTTTCATTGGGTGCCTATATGCCAAGTATGTGCTATAGTAAAAATTACTCTATTTTTTTAATTATTTTGCTTGCTTGTAGAAGCTAAAAACAGTGGTTTTAATTATAAATTATGAAACAAAAAGGTATTAAAATTTTGGTTACTAATTATGCTCAAATATTGAGCAACTCTTTTTTTAAGTTTAGTGTTCAGAGGATGTAGGAATTTATTTTCCAGGGCCTCTCACATACTGGTCCACATAGGTAGGTACCTAATGAAGTTTTGCTTAATGATGAAGAACATTTTGCATGGCATTAATAAAAAGGACTGGTACATATTACAGCACTGAGGTCATGCCTTCTTTCCTATAAATGGTAGCACAATTTTATATTACACATATATAATTTTGCTATGATATAATTTAATTAGCATTGGTGTTTGAAGAACAATAGTTGTTTCAGTGGTTTTTGTATGCTTTGCTCTTTAAATTCTTCATAGCATAAGACATCACTGCCTTTCTGATAGACATATTTTGATGTTCTGGAATAAGAGTTGGCGAATAATGTAAGATTTGGAATTTTTCTCCTTTTTATGCAAATGTTAATAAAATAGTTAATATGTTTACTTTTTCTGAATAAATTTGACCTTTAATAAAACATGTAAAACTCCATAGATCCATTTGAACATTTCTACTAAAATGTCATTTTATTTTACTATTGGAAATTATTATTTCATGACTATGTTTCTTCCTGTATTAAGATGGTCTTCGCCGAATTTTATGCCAAGTTGGTTTACAAGAAGGGCCAGATGGTGAAAACTCTTCTCTCGTGGATAGATTGATGCTTAATGATTCCAAATTGTGGAAAGGTAAATCTCTTAACTACTTTCAAGGTATTGGGGAACCTACATGGTAACTATGATGTTAAAGATTTTAAGGGGGGTTTAAAGATTTTATTTATTTTTAGAGATGGGAAAGGTAGGGAGAAAGACTGGGAGAAAAAGATCAATTTGTGAGAGAAACATGGATTGGTTGACTCTCGCATACCCCCAACCAGGGACCTGGCCTGCAACCCAGGTATTTGCCCTGACCAGGAATTGAATTGGCGAACTTTTGGTTTGCAAGATGATGCCCAACCCACTGAGCCACACCAGTCAGGGCTGTTAAAGCTGTTCTGTTTTTTTTTCATTTGGGAAAATATTTTAATAAGTATGGTTTTAGAATTAGCACATGCAATCTTATTCTTTTGTTGGGGGCAGATATTAGGGTCCATCACCCAAATTAAATAACCTTTATATTTTGTTAGAAACTGTATTTAGAAAAAAACTAATTTTTTTAAGAAACAGATTGTAAATATTTTATATTAAGGAACACATGTAGAGATCTGTTCTTGAGATTTAAAATAGAGTTGACCATATAAAAACTTCAGGAGTATAATTTTTAGGTTGTTTTATATATCCTTATCTTACATCTGCTCTTTTTATAAAAGGTGCTAGGAGTGTGTATCATCAGTTGTTCATGAGCAGTCTGCTTATGGATTTGAAATACAAGAAACTGTTTGCTGTTCGATTTGCAAAGGTAAGTAGTTTCTCAGATTTGAAGATTAACAGAATAGTCAGGTTATACACAGAGTACCTGTTGTCCATGATTATATCCAGGCTTTGTAAAAATAGCAGCTAACAGTGTGTTGATTTTAAATTTTAAGAAACTTCATTAATAATCTTTTCATATTTTATCAATAGAATAAAATTCAGTGAGGCTTTTCTTGATCATCATCTGCCATGATACTATGACTATCCCTGTTTACAGTGTATGTGATATGAAATGATAAGCGAAGAACTTAAACCTATCCCATTGTGAATTATGGTATTATTTCTGTTAAAATTTATACAAGGAAAAGATCATCTTAGTTGAAATGATAAGTATATATGGATGTGATTTAACAATCACAAACTCTAGATGGTTGCTATTGTTGAATTATGTTCTTTTCCCTTGAGCAGCATGTGATTAAGCTAACTGCTTTTGTTTTGTTTTGTTTTTTAATTCAGCTAAATTAGGTGTTATTAAGCAAGGAAGTGAGTAAGAATCATTTGGGGAGTTCTTTCAAAATGCATGTGTTTGCATTCTGTTCTCAAACCTGCTGAAGCAGATTCACCAAGATTGGGGTTCAAGCACGTGTACTTTGAAACAGCCATCAGGTGATTCTGCTGTGCATCCAGAAGTAATACACGTCTGGTTTTATCAGTAATAGTGTAAAGCGCTGTGGTTTAGCCCCACCAGTGTATAATGATATCCCAGGATTTTAGTACCTGTTACTTCTGTTTCTGCTCATAAACTGCCATTTGTGTTTGAACAGATTGTCTAGTGAATTCATGTTTACACAGTTTATTTGGTAGAAATCATTCCAGTTATCATTCTTACAGTGTTAGTTCATTGACTCCTCCAGCACTGACTTTTCATTATAATCCTTAAACATTTGGCCAATGTGGATTAGAGGTGAATCTCCCCCTTGTTGTTTAGAATTACCAGCAGTTGCAGAGAGATTTTATGGAGGATGATCACGAGCGAGCAGTGTCCGTGACTGCTCTGTCTGTCCAGTTCTTCACCGCACCTACTCTGGTGAGTAGTGCTTGCCTTTTCTTTGTAACTGATAGCTGGCACTCCTTGCCTTTTTTTGCCTTCTTAATAGAACTATGAGCGTTTGCAGAGTGATTATGTGACAGATGACCACGACAGAGAGTTTTCAGTCGCAGACCTCTCGGTTCAGATATTCACAGTTCCTTCACTTGTAAGTACTGAAAGACTAAGAAGAACTTTTTTGTTTTCCATTATCAGAAGTAAAGCCTTAAAATAATAGAGAACTAGAATCTGTATATTCCTAAATAGAATAATATATTAATGGGTGATCAGATACCTTCAATCTGGAGGGGAAAAAAGTCATTTACTTTAATCTGTGCTATCTCATATTCTCCAAGGTTTTGAACTGATGATTTAAAATTAAGCTGATTGGTTTAACAAATTTATCCATTAGAAACCGACAACATATTGTATATAATCTTAGATTTTGAGAAGTCCCTGTCCCCAGTGAGGGGAAGAGGAAGCTAATACAATGGAATCACGATAATTTGTTGGTCTTGTACTAAATTTCACTAGTTGCTCCAGAAGGCATCACTATTTTAGTACTATTCAGTAATTAAAATTGATTTAACTTGTTTAACAAAAATATATTAAGCACCTATTATTTATTGGGCACGGTTCTAGGCTTTGGGAATGAAGTAGTACACAAAAACTGGTATGGTCTCTGCCCTCATGAAACTTGCAGTGGTGGGAAAGACTAATACATGTCATTGATTAAAATCATATGGAAACTGAATAATTTGTTTTGAGAGAGAATTATAGAGAGATCTGACCTTTTTCCACAGTTCAAAGAAGGATTCTCTAAGGACCTTGGAGCAGGTTTAGGAAGCGAAGTCCATGCAGAAGAACTAGCACTTAAGAAAGTCCTGAAGTAGTAAAGTTTGTAAACAGGGAATGCAAAGCCAGTACAGTGAAAGATCCTTGAGCATGACATGAAATGGGACGAGAAATGTAGGCAGGGGCCAACCTGTATAGATTTAAGAATATTCTACAGTTATTTTTCTAGCTGGTATATTTTCTCATTTTTTTAATGACTTCACTCCTCCCCCCCGCCCATTACTTCTATGTTTGAGGGTATATTCTAATGCATTTGAAGCTGTCTGAATTCTATTTATCCATTAATGAAATATTATTATGGCCAATTAAGGATTTTGGGTTTTGTCTTAAGAGCATGGGAAGACATTGAAGAATTTTAAATGGCAGTTACACTATCACATTTGTGGATTTTTAAAAGATCACACTGAGTATGGTGATTGCATTGGGGAGAGGGGTGAAGAGAGGGGTGGGTAGAGGTGGAAGAGATCTGACCTTTCAGGATAAATGGCAATGGGGAAAAAATACAATAAAAATGAACTATTATAAGAAATGATCACACTGTAGATTGGAGAACAAATTGGTGGGGGCAAAATCTGAGTGTGAGGAATCTAATTAGAAGCCAGGGCATTGATCATACAGGAATTTATGGTAAATTGAGCTGGTATCGTGGCAGTGGATGTAAGAGTTGTGAGAGATATTTAGGTAGTAAAACCTACAGGACCAGCCAGATGTTGCGTTTGAGGAGTACTGGGTTTGGTGAATGATTGGTTGTTGCGTTTGAGGGGGAAAGTGTAAAGATGGTTCCCAGGTTTCTGACTGCACCCAAATGGGTGATGTGCACTTGCACTGGGAGTTTTGCAGAAGGAATAGGATTTGGAAGAGGGAAAGGAACACTTCCAGTTTAGTCAGAGATAAGTTTGAGAAGCCTCGGAGACAATCCCATGTGTCTTCAAATCTGCATCTCTCTCCTGCATTTATCTTTTTGTCTATTTCCATGCCAGTACCCATTTTTAATAATTTTAGTTTAATATTCCATTTTGTTAACTTAGCAATTTTTAACAGGTGTGCCACAACACATAACTATTTAGTCAGGGGAACTGACCTCTTTTCCCTTAGATTGTCACATTAAAAAAAAGGACAATAGCCAACACAATAGCAGTCCAGTGTGAATGAATCAAAATTATACCTATTTTTTTTCAGGTCAGCAAAAAATATATTTTTGTTATGCCACAAAATTTTAATAATTAGTTTATGTATGCCATGAGATAAAAAAGTTTGAAAATTGCTGACCTAGAGGGCTAAATCTCCTTTCATTATCCTTTTCCAAAAATTTCTTAATTATTCTTAGGCCTTTTTTTTTTTTTTTTCAGATGAATTAAAATCAGTTTGTTAATCCCCCCCCCCCCCCGCCAAAACCACCAGGATTTTCACTGAAAAAATACTGAATTTATAGGTATGGGAAGAACTGGTATCTTTGTAATCTAGGAACATAATTTGTCCTCATTTGCACAAGTGTTATTGGGTTGGCCAAAAAGTCTATTTAGTTTTTTTCTGTAAAATAAAAAAGATACATTTTTCATTTTCACCAATAACTTTATTAATTTGGATACTTTGAGTATGTCGGCTAATTCCCACTATCATCTTCTAGTGGATGGAGGCCAGGGGTGCTGCTAAAATATCTTCCAATGCATAAGACAGCCCCACAGCAAAGAATTATTTGGCCAAAATGTTGATAGTACCAGGACACTTGGCACAGTACGTTTGACACATTTGATCATCTCCATGCACTGCACAAATCTTTTTTTGCATCAGTTGAGTTTTTACCTTTCTTGAAATAATAAAGCATAATATGCTGAAAATGTTGTGTATCTTCTTCTATGTTCAGAGTTAAAATGGCTGCACAAAAATTCACCGTTTGATCAGTTTTTGTTTAACGCACGCTGATTTGACAGCTGTCGCAACACAGTCTAACAAAATTGTTTTGAATGAAATTAAAGACAACTAAGCACTACTAGAACCATCATATGGGCCCTGGCTGGTGTGACTCAGTGGACTGAGTGCCAGCCTGCAAATCAAAGGGTTGCCAGTTCGATTCCCAGTCAGGCCACATGCCTGGGTTGCAGACCAGGCTCCCAGTAGGGGGTGTGTGACAGGCAACCACACATTGATGTTCCTCTCCCTCTCTTTCTCCTTCCCTTCCCCTCTAAAAATAAATAAATAAAATCTTTAAAAAAAAACCCAAAACATTGTACAGGAAAACATAAATGAACTTTTCCTCCAACCCAGTATTTTATGCTCTTAGGAAAAGCTTCATAGTTCTCTTGTTATAGGTCTTACATAGTTTAAAATTAAGTTTATATGTATTAGATTTTTTTATGTTGTACTAAATTATTAACATTTTAAATCTGACTATGGCTAGTTATGTAAGAAAACTGATTTTTATATAGTCACCTTATATCTGTCTAGTTCTCCCAACATTTCTTCTAACATTTTGTATTGATTTCTTGGAATTTCTTGTAATCTGCAAATAATTTTTTTTCCTAGTATTTCTACTTTTTGTTTCTTGTCTGACTCCTTTAGGGACTCTAGAAAAATAGTGTATGTATTCATTTATTAAAAACATTTAGTACCTTCATTACGCAGTCACCATTTTGGGCTCTGGAGATAAATACAGCAATACATAAAACAGACAAAAGTCCCTGTTCCCATAGAATCTATATTCTAATTGGGGGAAGATACATAAACACTTGCCTACTCTTTATTATAAATCTAGTGTTGATAAGTGCTATGAAGTAGAAAAGCAGGTTAAGGGAGTAGGGAATGGCAGTGAAGGGTCATATTTTATCCAAGGTTATCAGGTAGGGCCTGTCAGAGAGGTGGTGTTTGAACAGAGACCTGAAGGAAGTGAGTGAGTGGTGTGAACCAACTGGTGTTGCCCAGGAGGGAACAGCAAGTGCAAGAGGTCTAAGATGAATGTGTGCCTGGCGTTTTGGAAGAAAGAACCAAAACAAGCTAGTATAGTAAAGTGAGTGGGGAGAAGGGTCCATGAGTTTGAGGATGGGGGTGAAGGTAAGGAGTTGGCAGTGCCAGCCTTAAAAGACCATTGTAACAACTTAGCCTTCTGTCTAAAAAGGTAGAAAAAGGGAAATAATAAAGAGCAGAAGTTAATAAGACAAAGTAAATATACAAAAGAGAAAAATCAACACAATCAAAAGTTGGTGCTTTTAAAAAGCCAGGAAAAAAGAGATAGATCTCTATAAAGAGCAATAAGTAAAACAGAAAATTTTAACTTGAAACAAAACCATAGATCTTAAAGATATTAAATAGAGAATGAGACAATACCAGGACCAACTTAATCAATAAAATTCGAAATTTGGATGAAATGAGAAGAATTTCTTAAGATAAAACACAAGTTATTAAAAGAGAAACATAAAATTGAAAATTTTAATTAGTATAAAAGTCTCATAAGGAAATCCCCAGGCCCAAATGGCTGCACTGGAGAATTCTTTTAAATATTTGAGAAGGAAATAACATCCATCTTACATAAGTGTTCCCAGAAGTCAGAAAAAATATATAAAATACTTGCCAATTTAATGGAGTCCTCTGTAACCTTGATACCAAAGCCCAACAAGGCAATTACAAGAAAAGAAAATTACCATCTAATTACCACAAATGAGGTCACACAAATCAAATCAAGCGATACTTTAAAAAGGACAATACATCACAACCAAGTTTGGTTTATTTCCTTAATCTAAGAGTAGTATAACATTGGGGGGCGGGGGAATCAACTAGAATAATTCACCTCATATACAGACCAAAATAAGGGGGAAAATCATATTAAATGCTTCTCCTGAATTCATGAAAATTGAACACTTATTCATGATTTAGGACAAAGGGTACCTAATAGCAAACTAGGAATGAAAGGGAACTTCTTTTCATTTGAAACAGTACCTAAAACCAAAACAAAAAGTAAAAACCCAAAGCAAACATTATATGTAATAGTGAAATATTAAAAGCTTTTCTCTGAAATCAGGAATGAGAAAAATTACTTTTATTCATCACATGGTGACTGCCATTTTTTTGTTATTTCTTGAGATAGATCTTTAAAGCATTGACTTTCAGCTTTTCTTTTGTGATAAATGCATAAGGCTCAAGTTTCCATCTAA